GTATTGCTGTGAAAGACACAATTATTCAATACATAAGAATATCTGGGTTCAAACCAGTGGTGTATATGAAATAATACAATGCCATTGTGTGAGTGAAAGTTAAAAGAAAAAATCCTTTCCAGTGAATTTAAAAAAAAAATTAAACAATGAAAAAGACAACGAAAAAAGGACTTTCAAGTAAAGTCATCACCTTGAAACTTTAAAAAACAGTCCACTACAGAGTTAAGAGATGTGTAAATTAAAGAGTATATTTGAATACTGAAGCACAAGAAGTGGCCTGCGGTTCAACGAATACAAAAGAAGTATCAATTGTAACAGTAACAGGTAAAATGAAGAAGAGAAAGACCAGATGGGTAAGCTAACCAATGAAAATTTGTATATGAGAATCAGAATTAAAATCAGTCACTAGCAAAAATCAGTGGATTGGAAAATGCGGTACTTTTCCTTTAAAAATATCACCAGGAAGAACTCCTGGTCTAATATGAATATCAGGTAAACTGACAGAAAAATTTGAAATAAAATGACAAGGCCTTATAAAAAAACTTGTCATGGTTTAACCCCAGCTACCAGCTAAGAACCACACAGCCGCTCACTCACTTCCCCCAGGTATGATGGGGTAGAGGATCAGAAGGGTAAAAGTGAGAAAACTTGTGGGTTGAGAAAAAGTTTAATAAGTAAGGCAAAAACCATGCGTGCAAGCAAAGCAAAACAAGGAGTTCATTCACCACTCCTCATGGGTAGGCAGGTGCTCAGCCATCTCCAGGAGAGCAGGGCTTCATCACAGGTAACGGTGACTTGGGAAGACAAATGCCATCACTCCAAATGTCCCCCCCTTCCTCCTTCTTCCCCCAGCTTTTTATTGCTGAACATGATATCATATGGTATGGGATGTCCTTTTGGTCAGTTGGGGTCAGCTGTCCTCCAGTGTCCCCTCCCAACTTCTTGCGTCCCCCCCAAGCCTCCTTGCTGGTGTGGTGGTGTGAGAAGCAGAAAAGGCCATGACTGTGTGAGCACTGCTCAGCAATAACTGAAACATCCCTGTATTATCAACACTGTTTCCAACACAATCCAAAAGACAGCCCATACTAGCTACTATGAAGAAAATTAACTCTATCCCAGCCAAAACCAGCACAGAAACATGGTAAGATATGTAGAGACCCGATTTCCATTCCTCTGTTCTCCAGTGAATCAGCAGTAGAAGGAGATATGCTACAAATGCTTTCAGGGCAAGGCTGGTTACCATCAGTGTAGGCACATTCCTGCAACAAAACCTGTGTGAGTGCATCAGGCTTTTGAGGCTGCATGTAGATGACACCAAAGATATTTTTAAAATTCAGTGCATGTGGCGCATTTTTCCTACTTGTCTGGAAGCACTACACATCAGGCAATGCCCACATCATCATGCTGCAGCTCACAGTAAAAAAATTCTGAGATATATGGCCAGGAAAAGCCACATGAAACTCTTACCTGATTTAGTTAGCTGTATTAAAAATCAAGAATTTAAAAAGATCAATAAAATGCAATGTTGCATAGATTAAGAACCATCAGACATCTAAAAAATAAATTGTCCCCATTCATGACTGAATGGGGACATCAGCAGTGAAATTCTGCAGATTATTGTAAGGGTGAGAACACTACTTGATGATGTCAACAGCGTTTAAGTGATTATGACCACTGGCAGTGCAGTAAGACGGGGACAGCACAGTCGTACATACAAAAATATCTTTTAACACACTGAGAATGAGGAAGATGCATCTGGTGAGTGGGTGATTCTGCAAGGGACAAGGCAGGTGCTCGTAGTGGCTGAGCAAGCTGCAGTGAACAGCATCAATGAGATGTAAAACCAGCAGGGGAATGACCTCTGACCTCCACTGCCAGGTTTATTTTTATCCAGGACTGTTTAAAATTGCATAAACAACCTGGAAAGAATACACCTTCTTCCCTGCTCCAAGTTATGTGTTTTGAATACTATGCTATAGTTAGCTCCTCCTTTGCTCATTTTTTCTGGCTCCCCTTTTGCACAATGACAGCTCCCACAAAGCCAGAGAGCATCTTCTTCCCAGCACACATGTTCAGTTCGGTGGTTAATGCAGCCTTCTAGACATTTGGAGATGTGAATCTGTATTCTGTCACAGAAGCAAACACGTCACCCCTGTCTCTCACCTCCTGCGAGACCTCTAACCAGAAAAAAATTTTTTAAAAAGTGACCATCATATTTGTTGTATTTCAGATCAAGAGAATGATCCTGGAAAAAAACCCGCAAGTACTTACATACAGGCTCTGAATCGTGAGCAGATGGCAATAATTACCTGGACTCCTGACTCAGCCATTGCAGCACTGGAAAGGGACAGGATTTCACACTCTTCCCCAGGATTAACATTTCCTACTGGTAGGTCTGGGCTGCTCCCCTCCCAGAATAACCTGGTTTTCAGGACATGAGTTTGAAATAGTTCAACTCATCCTGTATTCAATAACATGCAGATTTCTGTTGGCTTTGGCCCTGGAAGAGTTTTTAGGATTTATTTTATATAAAGGCAAATGATGAGGCTTACTACGGAAGTAAATGTGTGCCCTTCAATGGCCTTTGATATACATGAGAGACAAGAATATCTAACAGTTCTTAACTATGAGCTGTTTAATCTCTGTTCTCCCAGGTAAGAGAAGCATAATCTATCACATTTGTTTTGGATCAGATACTGTATTTTATACCAAAAAAGGAAAGTATTATATAATCCCATACAAGACTAGATCTATTAAAAGGAACAGATCTTTAACTGAAGAGATTATCTGCAATTGCATGGACAGCTATGAATGGAACTTTCCAAAATAAAGCTGTTTGTAAAGTGATTACACTTGAATTGTTAAGACTCTAAATATAAAAGAGCTTCTTGATCATTGAATTTCAATGGGATGCATAAATAGTAACTTTTCTAATTTTACAACTATCCTATTATAATTTTGTTTTGAAAAGTCATACTGTAAAAAGGTGTACTTTTGAATTTTACCTTTTTCCTAGTCATTACTGACATTGACAACCTTTATGCATTTATCTAACTACACGTGAAAATATTACAAGATCAGTTCTACGGGCATGCCCCATCAAATCTGTAAACTGATAGCCAAGAACCATTTTTATGGAATGGTGCAATGTTTGGCAATGGTGCCTTGATTCCCTAATTTGGAACTGTAAAGGAACTACTGAAATACCAAGGGTCTAGACTGACATCACTATCAGGAAAGAAAACACTAAACTTGCTACTTCATAGCACAAAGGCAAATCCCACTCCTCCTACTCTATAATGCTAGAAATCAAAGAACTAAAGCTTGAGTCCATAACCAATCTGGACACCTCCCTCCACTCTCCAAATAAACCCACCCAGACACTTGGATTAACACTTACCTCAACAAGTGATAATTGAACCTTTTTCCATTTTAGTATTCTTACTTTGCTAACCCACTAGTAGAAATACTATAGTATTGTGTTTGTCCAGTGGCAAATGGCTGCTAGGTATCTACTACAACAAAAGTTATGAGCTGTTGTCATCTAGGGCTGTAAGATGAAATTTTAAAGGTCAAAAGGCTCTTTTACCTAAAATGTAAATAAGGATTCATCCAGTCTAGAATTAAAAACTTATTTTCTCCATCTTCAGTGGTATGTATAAGCTGCACTCATCTTTGTGCCAAGGTCTCTGAAGTAGACAGATAGAACAAGCCAAGCTAAATTGTGTCCCCTACTTACTTTGGGCAAAGGATCACTACTTTCTTCTGAAGTTTTTCTGATTATATTTAAGTTTTTGAAAGTTGTTGCCTGTGCAGAATTAAATGCCACCTTGCTGCAGAATCCTCTTCTCTATGGTCTGTTTCTTCTTCAGCTCAACATCTTTTTTAACTTCATGAAGGTGCTGACAGAACAGAAAGCGTCACAACTCGTTCCATGCAATCCACTGGAACCATTTCAGAAGACTGCAGAGCTGGGTAAGGTTACATTCTGTATCTACAACTGCTCTTATCAGGATTTCAGCACAGCAAATACTAACTTCTGCACAGCCATAAAGGTGCTAGGACAAACATAATTTCTAAAAATTAGAGCAGTCATTAACTACTACAACTTAAAGGTTTCTCTTAACAAGCTTTTAGTAAAGCAGCTGCTGTTGGTTAATATTAAGCCTGCTTCTCCCTTTGCAGGAACTGTTGCTTGCACATTCAGTTTAAACAAAAGTCACAAAACATATGGTAGCAACAACTGAGACAACTTGTTAGTAATCTTAATCCTTTTTGCTCATTAATTTTGAATAACAGGCCTTTGCAACTCAGTCATTAAGCACACTAGTGTACTTGACATAACTCAAACTCAGTCAGTCCTAAAGCACAGCTACAGCTTTCAAGCTACTTTCAGTTTTCTCCCCTGTCCCACTCAAGAAATAGCAAAAGTGCTGCCAAAGAGAACACTGGTGGAAGAGCTTAGTACTTTCTAATTTTGCCACACTTGTAAGTACTTCTCACACCAACTCTGTTAGCACTTTTTTTTTTTTCCATGCTGAGCTTTTATCTTGTTTCCTAATGATGTAAAGCAGGATACCCAACTTTTCTCTACATTCCCCGTTTTTCACTTAACGTCAGACACATACACCAAACAAGACTTTCAACTTTTTTAATTTACAGTATCGATTGCTCCGAGTTATGCCTTACTGTTGGCACACAGTAAATACATTCATCTGAACAACTGACTTAGTATGAAAAAATGCAGTTAGAACATTAAAAATACCACTTTACACTGTGCGAAACAGAACCTTCAAAAGCAATGACATCGGCTACAGCCAGGCACCGAGGAAGACTGGTGAGACTTGTTGCTTTTAGTCTACCAGCACATTCATTCCTGTACCCCTTCATCCAAAATTGCCTGTAAACAGATTTTAGGCGAATGCATCTGCTGATTTCAGAAGTTTTAGTAACTCTCAGCTTGGTCTTTAGCACATGTATTTCCAGAACAGGGTATTTTCCTGTTCTGTTCATTATACCAAGAATGTATGGTTTTGGAAGATTTACTGAACAAAGGGTTTCAGCAACACTTAGAAAACTGAAGATGTTTCTCAAGGGGAGTTATACTCTACCGGTGCATGCAGCTGTTAAAGTCTGGATGAACTGGGTAACATGCTTCCCCTAGATAAAAAAAAAAAAAGTGGCTGGGCACAACTGCCATTTCACAATTAGTACTCAAGTCAGATGAAATGCATCCTTACTGCACGCTTTAGACAGATTAATATATACCACAACACCTAGCACTGATTTAGTTTAGAAAAATATTGAGTTTTTTTAGCCTTTGTTGTTTTGGGGTTTTTTAAATCTTTGAAATAACGTAACAGAGGATGTATGGTGGAAGATGCCAAGAACCACCCTGCTTTTTAATCTGGAAGAACTGGGCTTTCAAAGCTATGATGCTGATGACAATTACTCATTTGATTATTTACAGGTTTTGTTTAGTTTTTGTTTTTTTTAAACAATGAAGAGGCAGGAAATGTTTATTTACTTATTTTTTAATTCTATGATCAAGAATGACTAAACATTATAGTAATTTAAATCAACCCAATTACATAGTTTCCATTAAGTTAATGGCTGCCAAACAAGTGTGTACTCCAGTGACCCACCGTGAGCAATGTTATTTGACAGGTGAGACAGATTTTAAGGTTAGACACAGTACATGTAAAAATAGAAAATTTAAAAACCAATCTCATCACAGACACTTCCATTGCCATCTCCTTTGTGAAATAAATAAGGCAGCAGATAACTTTTACTTTGAAGTGGCATCTTTGAGGTATGCTATTAAGTCTGCTCTCTCAGACTTCTTCTTAATACCAGCAAAAATCATTTTTGTTCCTGGAATATACTTCTTTGGATTTTCCAAATACTCCATCAGAGTATCCTCACCCCAGGTGATACCTAGAGAGAAGAAAAAAAAGATAGTGACTTTAAAATAAGAAGCACGTTTATCTTTTTGTCCTCCATATTATTTTACTTTTTGGCAGATTTCAGTACTTCTCGAACTATCACCGGGAATTGAATATTTTTGCCCCTAGTAACTCAGAAGAGTAGCTTAAAGTTTACCTTTATTCTTATTAGCATCCGTGTAAGAGAAGCCCGCAGCTTGTCCAGTCTTGCGTCCAAATAGGCCATTCAGGTTAGGTCCAGTCTTGTGTTTGCCTCCCTTTTCAACCGTATGGCACTGGGAACATTTCTGGACAAAGATCTTCTTGCCCTTCTCAATATCTCCCATTTTCAGTACTAGACCAAGAACACACAGAGGTCAGTATTGCAATTTCAAGGTCACCCATTCAACAGGAACTCTAGAAGTGTCCCTTTGGTTTACAAAGCCATATACACGGCCCATCAGCCTAGTAATTCTCTGGCACACTTTCTAACCACAAGCCATAGCTCCTGGGTTTGAAGATTAGTAGAGACTCATTAGACTATGTAAAATGTATCAAGGTGATAAACATGCTTGAAGAGCAGGAAAAACCCTCCCTCAGCCAAAGCAGTTTCCCCACAGCATTTAACCAGCACGGAAATAACTTCTGAAGAGCAAACTGAACACGACTTCCATATATAGCTTGTAGATCTATAATAGGAGTTTCTTTGTCATGAATAACCTTGCGTAAAGGGGTAGAACCGCTTGCATGTTTTCCCTTTTCAGATGAAAAAGCGCATCAGCACAACACCTGGGAAAGAGCCAAGGGCGACAGGCACAAATCTGGCCAGGATGCCTCCCGGAGCACCAGCCGGCAGTAACTCTAATTGCACGCGGTGTGGCGAGAGCACCCAAGGGCAACTGCACCTCCCGGCTCCGGCTCTACCTCCGCGGAGGCTGACCTTGACGCGAGGAGCAGGCTCCGGCCGCAGGGGGACCGTGGCACGACCCCGGCGCGGCGGCTCACCCCGCAAGGGCGCGCAGGCTAGGCCGCGCCACCTCCGAACCCGACCGGCCGCCGGCAGAGCCCGGGTC